TTATTCATAGGCTTGATAATATGTCCTTCAAGAGAATTGGCTAAGCAAACCTATGACATAATTCGACACTATACCAATAGCTTAAGACAAACGGACTGTCCAGAGATACGCTGTTGCTTGGCAATAGGAGGTGTGCCAGTTTCAGAGTCATTAGCTATAATCAACAAGTTAGTGATTATTATTGTTAATTATATTTTTCATATTTTTATCTCTAATATGTTGCAATTTATTTTTTATTATTATTCATAGAGGTGTACATATAATGGTAGCAACACCGGGACGATTGATGGATATGTTACATAAAAAGATGGTTACTTTAAGTGTATGCCGTTATCTTTGCATGGACGAGGCAGATCGCATGATAGATATGGGATTCGAAGAAGATGTTCGAACAATATTTTCTTTCTTTAAGGTAACTAGTACCTTCTCATGCATTTTATGCAAGAAAAGATTAAATATTTATTAAAATAATAATAATAACTGTTGCCTGTTACAGGGTCAGAGGCAAACACTTTTATTCTCTGCTACTATGCCGAAAAGAATTCAAAATTTTGCGCGTTCAGCATTGGTGAAACCTGTAACTATAAACGTTGGCCGAGCTGGTGCTGCATCAATGAACGTAATACAAGAGGTGGAATATGTCAAACAAGAGGCTAAGATTGTTTATCTCTTGGAATGTCTTCAGAAAACTGCACCACCAGTCTTAATATTCGCAGAAAAAAAGCGTGATGTGGATGCCATCCATGAGTATTTGCTTATAAAAGGAGTGGAAGCTGTTGCAATACATGGAGGAATAGGTACAATATTTCAGATAAACTATATTTTATTAAACATTAATATACTGATAAAATTATTGCAAGATTACTGATCAATCGTATTAATTTTTCACAATTAAAATATTAATGTAAATATCAATATAAATATCAATGTAAATTAAATATATTCATTCATTTTATTATATTTTTTCAGATCAGGAAGAAAGATCACGTTCAGTGGAAGCGTTTCGCGCAGGTCGAAAAGATGTACTCGTTGCAACAGATGTTGCATCAAAGGGTCTCGATTTTGCCGATGTGCAACACGTTATTAATTACGACATGCCAGACGACGTAGAAAATTACGGTAATATATACATGATAAATGAAAAATGGTAATTTCGAAAAAAAAGATGTTTAACATAATTTTATAATTTTTAGTGCACAGGATAGGACGAACTGGCCGTTCTGGACGTACTGGTATAGCAACGACTTTCATTAATAAAGCAAATGATGAATCAGTACTGCTCGATCTTAAACATTTACTAATGGAAGCAAAGCAAAAGGTGCCACCATTCTTGCTGGAGCTTTGCTCTGAGAATGAAAAATATCTCAATCTGGGAGGTAAGATATATTTTTTCTTTATAAATTTATGTTGCTATTTCTTATAATTATAAAGAAATCTTTCATGTTTTATCGCAGACGAACGCGGATGTAGTTATTGTGGTGGACTTGGACATAGGATTACAGAGTGTCCAAAATTGGAGGCTGTGCAAAACAAGCAGGCGTCTAATATCGGGCGTCGCGATTATCTGGCTAGTAATGCCGCCGATTATTAAGTGACGCATTTTAAAGTTGTATTTATTGTAAATATGTGTAGTACATATAGGATGAGTAAAAAGTTCCGGACCATTGAAATATTTCGAAAAAAAGATGTATTTTTTGGGAAAAATGATTCAGACAAAAAAAGTCAAAAGTTGTAAGGTTTAAAAATATCTATTTACTGATCACATCTATTTGATTTTGGATGGCGTCGCCAAGGTCAGGTCAATCGATTTAAATAGGACACCCTATTTTTTATTCCAGAATAGCTAATGTCAAGAGCTTTTCAAAACACTATAATAAAGTTCACTTCCATTAAGTACTTTTCGTAAGTACTTAAAGTTATAAATAAGTATTTAAAATTTATAATATCGCTGGCATTATCATTACCCAAAAAATAATTATACATATTATATCTAAAAAATATCCAACTAATCTAGATTTATAATATCTCTTAAAAATGAATTTTTAGCAAAAATGAAAATAAGAGGAATAACCTCCAATAGCTTGATCTTGACAAATTTAGATATGGATCTTGAATAATTTTCAAGAGATTTTAATTATTAGTCGGATATCTTGGGTATTGTTAATGCCGGCGATATTGTAACTTTCAAGCCTTATAATTCGAAAAGTACTTAACGAAAATAAAACTTAATTGTAATGTTTTGAAAAACTCTTGATATCAGCCATTAAATTCTGGAATAAAAAATAGGGTATCTCATTTAAAAAAAAATCAATGTGACTTTGACCTAACCTTAGCAACACTATCCAAGGTCAAACAGACGTGATCAGTACAAATAGATCTTTTAAAACTCTACAACTTTTGTCTGAATCATTTTTCACCAAAATGCTTTGTTTTCGAGATATTTCACCTGTTCGAGATATTTCACCAGGATTTTTTATTAACCCTATATATGAAAATTCATTCCTGTGATAATTAATGTTATATAGACAAGAGCAAAAAAATAAAACAAAATTATTTGAACTAAATGCTATATACAGTTGTTTATTTATTGCATTATCATTTTTTAGTCTTTAATTACATAAAAAAATTTTGATAAATGTTTACAATATAATGAATTCGACTCCTATCTTGATCTTGGCATGTGTTATCAAGATCATGAGTGATCTTTAATAGATGTTAGTAAGAGCTTGTTACTTTTGTTAGAAAGTTATTAAAACTAACATTAGACTGCCGGCATTTTTTCATTAAAATACTGATTCTTTTTTCTTAAAAATTTTTTTATATAAGTAACATACACATGGTGCAAAATTTCGAGATTTATGCAGAACCATAAAAGTGGTTTTCTCGGTAAGGAACATACAATTACAATTAAATATAAAAAATATACAATTACAACTAAATATAAAAAAATGTTTATTTTCTCAAAAATAAGTTCTTACAAGAACGAAGGACTTTTAATTTAAAAAACAATATCGAGAGTAGTTTTAAAATATTATGTTATATTTGATTCTTATGTCCTGTATACTTTCAATATTGTTTTTCTCAAAAATATTGTATTTTGGGAGTTTTTGATCTCGCTGATTCAATTCTGAGCATAGATTTATAAAATTTCGAACTCTAAGAGCAATGTTAACAATAGCAATATTAAGTGAATATAAATTCAGATTCTTTCCTTTAGTTCCTTTAGTCATTCAGAACTAATGACATGAACGTAGAAAATTTATAGTTCCTTTTTGATTTTTCTTTTTTGTTTGGTTTTCAAAATTTATTTTTTATATTTTTTTTACTTTTTTTGTTTTATAATTTTTTTATGTTTTTATATTTTAATTTTGTGTATATTTTTCAATACTTATATATATATACTTATATACTTATACATATTTCTGTATATAATATCTGATTTATATATACTTATATACAATTCAATACTTATATATACTTATATATTTATATATTT